GATACAGGCCAAATTGGCCAGCTCATGTGTATAGACACTTCACAATCATTTCAGTTTAAATAATATTACTGTTAGTTAAACAAGCTTTAAATATTGTGCTTCTGCAAAATACACATATAATATTAGGAGAAAATTATTAGTTGATCATTCTATACCCAACTCCAAGCTTTTTTAACAGAATGGACTCCAGCGCTCTAGGCTGTAGTCACTCACCAGTAAACTACACCTCTTGTTTGTTCTCCAAATGATCTACTTTCTTTCACAGAGTACAGACATACACACATTCCTCACGATTACTGTAGAATATCTTATTGTACCTTAAAAGGATTATTAAATCTTAGCACAACTACTCACTAGGATACTTACAATTCTCCAGTTCCTTTTAATATAATTCTTGAACGTTACAGATGCACAAACTTTGATGACATTTTCCTGTGATTTCTCCAGCAGTGTTAAGAGTAACAATGGGTAATTCTGGCTTCCTTCAACTGATTCAAGAAACTTCTCCGCTGTAAGAGAACATACTAATGTTAGCAAAAGCTGAACTGACTTTTGCCTAGTGGGAGTCCTTTGGTTCCTCAAGTGTCTATTTAAAATAATCAACACATGAACACTTCCCCAGAGTTTCACCAGAACAGAAACACAGAACAAGTCTGACAAAAGGTACGGTAGCTTCTTTACTATTAAGGTCTTTGACGCTTCTGCTATTAACTAAAGCTCTCAATTCAAAGCAGGATGTGGAAATATTGCCTCCTCACCATTTTTAAAAGCCATAACCTGCTAGAAGTAAATCCTGGTTTACTGTGAACAGCAGCACTGTTTTAAATAATAACAGTAAAAAAAAAAAAAAAAAAAAAAAAATCAGGAATACAGGAAAATAAAATTACAAAAAGCAAACAAAATAAATTTGTATCTATCCTTCATTAGTTTTTTTGTTTGGTTGTTTTTTTTTGTTTGTTTTTTTTGTTTGTTTGTTTAAAAGGATACTGAGAACTTCTCCAAAGAAGTTTTTGCATAAACATCCATTGAAGTTTGCTATACACATACAGAAGGGCCAAAAAGAAACTACATTTTTGGTTGCTCATAAGAATCACTTACCAGGACGTCTTATAGCAGGATCAGGATCTAGTGTTTTCTTTAGATACTCAGTTAAAGTCTGTAAATTGGCATCACTCAGCTCCATTTTGGCAGAACCTAAAACCCACAAGTAGTTTTGTTATAGATTTTCTGATCTGTATGTATAAGCATATGTAAAACTGCATACCACAGAAGACACACATCAGCTCTTTTTGACTATACCTCATAAAGCATAGTGCTATCTTATGTGTCTCATCCAATAAAACAACAGTTAGTGTGCACCAAGCACAAAACATCCCATTTCTTCAACTACATGTAACTTACTGTCTAGTTTATTGAAACCAAACTCTTAGAACAGTATCACACACCCAGCAGATCATGAACCACATACAGCCAAAAAATATGGTCTCTTGCCCTTTCAGGACAAAAAGAGTTTGATTTTGCTTCTGAGAACTATCAGCCCCAGAAACCTGTTCTTCGATGAGAAAGCTGAATAGTCCCGCCCTACATAGCTGTAAATGGAACAACTCAAAGTGTATGGGAGAGTCAAAGCTTGTTTAAAATTAAATACCCATTATCAAAGACAACTCTCAACAGAAAATTATTTTTTTTAAAGTGACAAAAGACTCTGCAAAGCCAGAGGGTTTGTCCACCCTGTAAAATTAACTTAGATTAGGGTGAGAGTTAATTTAAACTGCAATACTTAATACAGAATAACTCTGTGCAATATGTCTAAATTACTCCGCTCTAGTAATCTTCCCACACACATTCTCATACTTACCACAGTGATATATTAACTTCACAGCTTTAATTGGAATAATTAAAATTACAGTAACACTAAAAGAAGACATGATTTAATGTCCATGTTGTTGCTCAGGATAACATCACCAATTCTGTTCATCTTTCTTACCACCAGCAGCACAGTTCACTCACTACAGAAGTAATGAGGAAGGAAAGATTTCAATTTTTTCCTCTGGAGTTTCTAACTAGTAAGATAGACTTAAATTTGTCTGTCCCACTTTGGATTTGTTTTATGTTGATTATCAGTGCAATAAAAATAGTTTCTATTTAAGCATGCTTACAAAGACAGTATGTTTTAATGACATAATTTTTAGTTTAACTATAGTACCCATATCATTAAAAGAGACAGCAACAGTATCCTCTTGAATTAAATGAACGGTAATGAGTAATTGAGGCTCCAAAATGTTTTGCAAAAAGTAAAAATCCACCTACAGTCTGGCCTCCCACATTTCACTCCCCTTCCCTTTGGGGGTTTACCTGCTTGCAGTCTTGTTCACCAATTCACATCAACCAACAAAATCCCAATAAAGTACAGCTTAAGCAAACAGCACCAATAACAGCTATCTCATCTGTTCTACAAAATGGCCTCATGCATCACTACTTGTTGTTGAAACTAATCTTTAAATATTTCGTAATTAAAAAAAATATAAACTATCTGCTCCAGAGAAGCTTGTAAGGCTGAAGTGCAAACCCACTCAGAAATCATTTAGGAAGATTAAACTTGACTCAAACACAAAACCAAACTGAAAGAGGAAATGACAATCCTGAATGGCCTTTTACAACTACCTCACACACACAGGTAATGTAGGGGCCCATGCAAAAAACATACACCTCAAGCTGACTGTGAATTAACTTTGAAGGCCCAATGCTGAAATTTTTAATCCTTTAATCAATCCCTCATACAAAAGCATAAGTATTTTCACCCGCTATGTACTTTTATTTCCTTCCCTTCCTCTAGCTATTCATTTTTGTTTTCCTCTGTAAAAAAACTGGTGGTACTTGCTAGACTGATACGATGCTTTTTGCGATGTTGTGACATATACCACCTGAAAAGGCCACAGAAAATATTTTCAAACCCCCTCTCCAGAAGAAAGCCCCACAAATGTCAGTGCATTAACCACTTCAGTCAAATTGTCGACAGACCGCTTAGAGGAGAGAAAACAAAAAAACACCAAACTGGCTGCCCTCCCAGTCTTGTACCGTGAAGAACTTCAGAGAAGCCCGCTCCTGCACTCCCTCACCGCAACGTTCACCAAACACCATCTACATGCCCAAGAATGTTTATGGTCCAGATCTCACGGGGAAGGCTATCTTTACACTCCCTTCCACCTCACCGCAGCGCAGGGGTCGGGAGCCAGGCACCCGCTGGCCACGATAGCAGGACGAGGCACTCCCCGCCCCCGCCCGCTCCCGCCGCTTCCCCACAGACCCACCGGCAGGGCCGCTCCGGAGCGGAGCCCTCTAGGCCCGGCCACCAGCTCCCTGCTGCCGCCTCAGGGCTTCCCCGGTCCCCTCCCCGCCGCCTCACCCGGCCCGAAACCACCGCGCGGTTTATCCGAGCGGCGGGGCCGCTCCGTCCCGCCCGCCGCCGCCAGACTGCGCCTCCCCCGCGGCGGCGCTCACGCCGCCTCATGCGGCAGCGGCCCGGCTGCGGTCTCCACAAGGCGGGCCCAGGGGCAGCCCAGCCCGGCCCGGCCCGGCCCAGCGCCGCCGGGCCGGGCCGGGGGCAGGACGCGCCGGTGGCGGCGGCGGAGCCTCAAACAGCACCGACCGCCCTCAGACTAACTTGCTCCCCTCCCCCTCCCCGCCACCTCCGGACTGGCAGCACCGAAAGCCAATGAGGGGGAGTACACCGCTCAGGCCCAGCGGCAACGGGCCAATCGCGAGCTGCGGGAGGCAGGCTCGAAGCACCCCAGCATGGTGAGCTGCGCCTCTCGCTGCGCCGCGGGCCCAGCGCCCGAGCGCAGAGCGGAGCAGAGCAGAGCAGAGCAGAGCGGCGGCCGGGTGCGAGCCGTGCGGGCCGCCCCACCGACAGCACCACCGGGCGGCGCGGCCTAGCCTCACCTGGCGACTCCCCCCCGGCGGCGGCAGCTCCGAGAGCTCCGGCTGCGCTTCACATTCAAACTGCGGCGAGAGGGCGCGGCGGCGGCACCGTGACCGCATCACGCAGGGCGGGGACACCGTTCGGCCGCCGGGCCAATCGGCGCCCTCCCCTTCCCCGACGCGCTCCGCCGTGAGCCAATCCTTGCAGCGCTCCCCGGGGGGGGCGACCGACCAATAGCCAGGCTCTTCCCACAAGGCCCCGGGGCGCCTGTGGGAGCCCGGCTCCGCCCCGGCTGAGGGGCAGCGGCGGCCGGCGGGAAGCGGCGGCGGAGGGGGCGAGGAGCAGCAGCCTCTAAAAACAAAAACAAAAACGAAACAGCAGTCATTAAAAAAAGGGGATGTTACCACTGCGGGAGAAAGAATGGAGGAGGAGTGAGGAAGGGAAGGGGTGTTAAGAAACACCCTCCTCAGCCCCCCACAACCAACAAACAGAACCCCTAAAAGTGAAAACCTTCTAAGTTTAATGTCTAATATATTTAAAAGTTAAATAAAGGAGGGGGGAGGGTCACCAACATAATAAACTACATGAAAACACAAGCAAGCCACACTTTTGAAACTTTATTGATTTACCACTTGATTAAAGCATGGAGTATTATAACAGTATTATACATAGTATTTCCATGTAGAAAACTTTACATAGTTTTTCATATTATATAATTTTGGTATTCTCTCAAAAATGTATACATCCATTGGGCAAGGAATGCTCTTTAAATTACTGATATTAAATGCACTTAATATGGAGATCTTCAAAAAAACCTTAGGCATTTTAAATATGTGAAAACATACATTTTACACAGAAATAACATTAAAGGTGCTTAAACTGAATTTACATATTATACTGACAAAAAACCCCTTAGTTCTACTTCAAACTAAAAGTTACTATTCTTAATCCTTCTCATTCTTAAGAATAAGGCAGAGCTAAAAGTTGGGGGCTGTTAATGAACATGGTTTTAGGTTGTTCTGGATCAATTCAGAAAGTGAGATGAGACATAACTATAAAAATAATATTTTTCTTTTTGTACTGTAAGACACAATAGAATCAACATGGAGTTTTTAGGGTTTTCCTCATTAGCATCCTCCCCTCTGCCTATTTCCTAGAGGTTTCCAAAATAAGAAGTAATAAGGAATCTCATGCAGTCTCCATATTTATACCATTATAGGTAAATCAGTTTATAGTTTAATTTGTTGCATAACACTACTTTAAAAGTCTAAGAAGTTACTTTTTATTACTCCATGTATTGCACAGATGTCTCAATCTCTACCAGGATATGCTGACACAGAACGCTGCTGTCATTCACAGATCCACTAAAGCCAGTAAAACCACTACAGGCAGGTAAAATCTGTTGTCAGCAGTCAGGACAAGATCGGAACCAGCAGTGACTACTGCAGGACTTTTGGCTCAGCTTTTTTAGATTCATTAAGATGCCTATGCGTTATGATCTTTCTGACTGTATAAGGGAAACCAAACAGCTGATGTGAATACAACTGTTTCGGGTATTACGCTTAACATACCATTGTTATTGCTTTAACATGTACAATCAATTCCAGAAAATGGACAGACTTAAGGCTGTTATAATCCAATTGCATTTCAGTCCCCCCTTCTCTTTCATGCACTTCAGTCTAGGATGTTTCGATGTTACATACCTAATTTCAACAGTTCAATAATGGCATAAATACAATGAAAGCCTTACTTAGGTAAATGAACAGTCTCAGAACTAAGGCTGAAGGAAAGGATTGATTAAAAGGCCCTTAATTCTATATGCAGAGATAGTACAAATGTTGCACATTACAGTAAAGAAAGCCCACAATGCAACTGTAATTTAAGATCTGAAAATTAGAAGACTTGCTTCAGGACATGAGTTGCAAGGCTTTCAAAACTGTAAGTTACAGAAAAAGCATGCAACTTTAGAAGGTTTGTGTTTTGATAGGAGATAAGGGTATACATTGTCACACAGTGACACATTCAAAATCTGAAAAATAAAGTTTAAAATATTTTCTTCACAACTACCTAGAACCGGAAGAAAAGGAATAGCCTATTCTTACAGATTTAAATAGAATTAAAATAAATACTTATTTTTTACTTTATTTGATGAAGTGACATCACCAGGGAATAAGCAAGTACAGTAAATGCAACAGAAAAGGACATTTGAAATGCAGAAAGTATCAGCATTGCTTATTTTTCAGTCTTGTCCTATTGTAAAATATAGCCATATATTCCCTTCTACTAAATACTGGTGTACAGTTTTAATCTAATGGGTGCTTAAAAGTTAGAGCCACAACCACCATTTAATTTTCTTTGGTTGAAAATAAAAAGTAAAAATAAAAATGTGAAAGCCTTAGCACTACTATTGACTGCAAAACCATTCCCAAACAATGCTTATGTAGAACAAGCTGATTTACTGAAGAGCACCATATGAACCCTTTGGAAATAGCTCACAGAAGAACAAGTCAAAAAACAAATGGGGACAAAAAAATGAAAATAAAACCACAAAAAAAACACCCGGGGGGGGGAACCAACAAAACAAACACCAACACTCCCTCTCACCCCCCAAAATAAAACCAGAACACAAAAAAAAGATGAATCCCAACACCTCTGAGTGAAATATCCCAAGACAACTTCAACTAAGGCCACTCTACCAGAAAACTCAACTTAAAAAGCAAAATAACACGTTAAACACTTAATACCATCCAGGTAGGTTGTTTGGGTTTGTTTTTCATTTTGTTGTTTGGTTTTGGTTTTTAACTACTGTTATACTTTAGGCTTGCTAATATGGATAGCACAGCAGTTAATATAACACCTTTGTTTACATTATTTTAGGAAGTGGAACTTCTCCTCCCATCCTGCCACTCTCTTCCAAGTTTAGACAAGTCTTAAAACTTGAAATAAAAATTATTTTGAAGGACAGACCTCAGTCTGCAGTACTTCAACTGTAAACTGGTATTCTATCATGGAAACAGTGGTCACAGAAAACTGATACATTTCAAAGAAAAAAAAAATCTAGGGCAAGAAAAACTGCAGTGCTAACTCATGTTTGCTTCAGGTATCTCCAAAAGCAAAGAAATGTGTTGATAACTCTTGCAGTATATAAAATAACTTGTTCAATTTTGCTACAGCAGTTTTAAGGAACTCAATTTTTTTTTTTTTTTTTTAGATCACAATATGAACTAACAGTTGAGAATAAAAATCATTTGCACAAAAAGACATCAGAAGTTGCAGATTTGCCGTAAAAAGAGACAAAACGCCTTACATATAAGGACAGGACTTCTTGCTAAACGGACACAATTACTATTAATACATTGTACTCAAAGGTGAAAATGATGGGTTTATTTGTTCTGGACCTTGTTCTTAATATTACTGTATATGCTCTGTCCATGATCTGGCGACATATGAAAGTAAATGGAAAGTTTAATAGGTTTTGGTTTTGTTTGGGGATTTTTTAAAGGCATTTAACTCAAGACTAGCAAGCTAAGTAGAACAGATGCTGTTGTGTGCTCCTGGTGTAAAAACTTCCATAAAAACAAAAAATGAGTCTCAGATAATATAGAATCTGTATTAAAAAAAAAAAAAATTGAAGTGACTTGCTAAACAGGAGGAAAACTCTGTCCCCAAATATCCTACAGGCTGTCCACTTCAAAAACCGTAACACACTGCCTGGTCTAGTCATGTACACACAAAGAAAAACCCAGAATGATCTTAAGTGGTCATTAGCCACTGCAGTATAGTTTATTATGAACACATGTGCTAACATCACAAGGCTATACAACTACATTCATTATTCCCAAGGGGCATAATTTCTATTGAGGCATCCAGCTGATTTATCATATTTAGCTGGGATTCAGGACTGAACAACTGATAGAAGACTAGAAGAGACAGACTTGATCATAAGGATGACTAGCATTGAAACAAAGAGACTTTACATCTACTGTATTAACTGTAAGCAATAATTTAAATAAAACTGCTGATAGTTTTGTAGGATGGACAGAACGGTTTTGTTTTGTTTTGTTTTTTTCCCCTCCTCCCCCCCTAATTGTGTTAAGAGTATCTTGCTGCTGTGTTGATACATCAGGGTCCCATTTTTTCCCATCCACTTTAATCCATCTCTGGAACACAACTTTATGTACAAGTCAAAGTAACCAACACTACTGAGGGCTACCATGACGGCAGGTTCATCCCAGTCGTCCGTATGTGCTCCTCTGTTATGCAGATTTTGAACACAACACCTATACGCAGGAAGAACTTCCGCAGCACAGCTCGAAGCTCAGGAATCAGGTCAAACTGCATGATTTCACACAAGTACGGATAATATGTTGAAGCATGTGCCTTAAACTATCAAAAAAGATATGAAAGAAAAGAACATTATTCTCTATTACTATAGGGCAGTGCAGTATTTTTCTACATTCTACATTCATGGCTACACCAACTTGATAAAACACAAGGTCTCACCCCACAATGGCCCCCCTAAGGACCAAAGGTCCAAAGGACCATCAAGCCCAGTGTCTGTTTTCCACAGCAGCCTTAGCAGGTGCCTGCAGGGAACCATACACAGAGCATGCATTTGGCTTTACTTCCTTAAAATAGAGTCAGACTATTTTGTGGCTCAGGGATTTCTCAGGCTAGAAGTAGTATCAGGGACTAAATTGTAGAAGCATCCCCCTCTGGTGCCAATCTGTCCAGGTGCTTCCCCAGCCTCTTTAAAATACCTTCCACAATAAATAACAAAGCCTTCCACAGCTCAATCAGTGGCAGAAGAACTATCTCCATTTTGTGTTTGGGATTTTTTTCCCCCTCCCATGACTTGCCATTTCTAAAGCTCTTATTCACTGTCTCTTCCAGTATAAGTTTCTCCATTATCAGTCCTTTCCCTCTCTTCACGCTAATGATTTTATGCACCTCTTATTTTTATTTCTTTTCCAGATAAAAGGTAACTGAGTAAGTCTAATATACATACAATTCCATGTATGGGAGCCAGTCTACATCCCTTATTCCCGTTACACTCCCTCAACCCTCTTCCAGCTCCATTACATCCCTTTTGATATGGGGAATCAGAACTGCAAAGAGTATTCAAGATGCACATCTGTCATGAATTTAACACAAGAAGAAATATGTTTTGTCCTCTATTCCACTCCTAGTAACGCTCAGTATTAGTTACAGGGAATGTTAATGGAACACTTGCACCACAGAACTTCTATTATAAAAGATAATGGGATTGTGTACTACGGAATGGCCAAGGTGCCATTTTATCTACAGAGAGCTAAGACTATTCTTACAATACACCATAACCACAGGGGTATCACTGAATTGATGCTACATGAAGAAACCAAGCCACCACTACTACCATTTTTTTAAAATGCTGATAAATGGCAATAAAACATTGAAAACCACAGAAGAGTGAAATGAATGACACACTTTGCAATACAGAAAAAAAAAATTACACCAGGAAAAAATACACTTTGATTAAGTGCAACAGTATTGGAAAATTAAAAAAAAAAAAGAAATTGCCGAAGTTTCTCTGCATGTCCTAATGAAATGAATATTTGCATTCACCTTTCCTCAAAAGGGCCAAGATCCTAAAAATTATTTTTTTTGCAATCAGTGTCAAGGAACCAGAATTCCGATTTTATAGTGGTAAAATTTACCTCTGACATTCTTGTACAGCTGTAATATAGCACAAGCCCATCATTTCTTGCACACTCGTGTTTTTATATGAAAGCTCTGCAGTAAATTCTTTCAATATTTCTGTACAGCTATGAATTTCATGGATGGAGTCTGATTTTTACAATGTCAAATGCTTGCAAAAAAATGAAGATGTAATGATTGCCGTATTTCAAGGAGGGTACATGCTATGTGAGTAAGTGAGCTAGCCACCTTACCATACACATGAGAATAAAGGCTGAATTCAACAGAAGCAGAAGTGAAAAAACACCTGAATGCAAACAAGACATGACTTCCGGCCTGTTCTTACCTTTTCATCACTGATTTTTAGTGTTTTTGTTAAAAGCAACAGAAGGAGATTGGTCCAAGCTTCTCTGTGGCTTTCTGAGTTCACAGTAATAAAATATGCCAGGGCTTCACTGCATACACTAAAGAGATGACACAGTTGAGACAAACAAAGAAAACCCATGAAAAGTTTTATAACAAGCATTTTTTTTTTTGTCCTCTCAGTGTTGTTTTTTTTTTTTCTTTAATTATTTTTTTTCCTCGCAAGCAAGATACATTTCTATGGGAAAGTTTTCAATCACATGCAACAACTTTCCATTACAGCAGTTGTTGCAGATAACATGAAAACTATTTCAGTTCAGTTGTCAACAGAGAACCATGGAGTCTGACGTAGAAGAGTGATTTTCCTCATAAATGTTCTGTAATTGAAGTAGTGTCACCTACAACATGCAAACATTTTTTCCTGATCCTTACATTGGGACAGCTTAGGCAACAGCAACATGAAAGAGTTCTCCCTCCAAACCTAGACTGCCTTAATAAAGATCTGCAGAGCTCAGCATTATGGATTGAAGAGAGATTACTACTGTATTAGTAAACATTTGGTCCTTGTTGTAGACTGTCAACACAAGGTAGAAACTGTACCATTTAAGACTTTCTAGGGGGCCCCATTTTAATCAAAGGAGGAATGGAACCTCCCCTTTTACACACTAAAAAGGTGAGTATGTTCACAGATGCTGATAAATCAGAACACTACTGAAATCCACTCCATTAGTGTCAATAGCAAGTTTAGTTCTTCACATTTGATTAGAGATTAGTACTCTGAACTTCTATTTACCAACTACTCACTTTTCAAATAAAGGAGACCCCAATACCTTTTTATATTAATTTAACATCATTTTGTACATTTACTTAAATTCCAGGTATACAGCAGCTTATGCTGCACTGTTTAAATTACTGTATCCTATTATACCTCTGAATAACATTATGTACTCAGATGTGAAATGTATACACCACCACTTCTGTAAAGAAAAGCTTATGTCAGGCAAGAAACTGCTTCATTTATTCCAAGCAGATTTTGAAATCAACTTTTATTAAATTATATCTATATCTACATATACATACCTATATCTCCTTCCCCTCATATACTTTGCACATTCTACTCTGCAACTTAAAACATAACATTTGTATCCAGAGATGCACTGTACTGGCTGAAAACAGAAAGCATCAGAACCAAGCTGGTACTCTTACCTAAGCAGCCGTTGCTGTATAGCATCCCAGGAGTCTCGGCGGTTTTCATCCACATACATTCGAAAGAGTATTCTCAAGCAACAAGCCAAGCTGCTGGTCTCTTGTTTCAAGAGGTTCGGTTTTGATTTACCCTTGAACCCTAGAAAGCCGTTACACATAGGGAGAGAGGGAACATTCACATTTGTATTTACTAGCCAAGAAGTAAAGTTTATCAACAATACCTCCATTAACGAACAGTAATGATTTCTTGTCCAGAAAGTATTTCCCCCTCCTTGATTTTTATTGAGACCTAATCTATTTATAAAGATACTTAACTACAGTAGTACCAACCATGTGGCTCTACTTTAATCAGAAAAACAGATAATTTAGCAAACAATTATTCAAGTCATCAGTAAGAAGACAAGTAATAAAAGCATGCAACACTCATACACTAAGTGTAGAGATTACTACAATGGTATCTTTCTGTACCTCGATAGCTAAAGCTTGAGTGGAGCTCAGTGTTTTTATCAAACTAAAGATAAAAGCCTCACCTGCTCTCCATAACACAGTTCGCTGTTCATAATTTGAATTAAAGGATTTTGAAAATGAATGAGACTCTTGCAGACAATCTAGCAACTTAAAGAGGTGATGTGAAGACATATATTTATACATTCCTTGGTCTTCTGTGTCAATGTGGATATCTGCATCCAATGCATCTCGCTGAATGGGGGGAGGAAGAGAAGGGAGGGGGGATGAAGGAGTGTCAATAACATTCTTGTATGAGCTTAAGAGACTTTGTTACTTCACAGACCATATACCTCTAACTCCATATGCTGTTTCTAGGTACAAGTGAAATATTAGTGCAATACAACACAGAAGAATAGTCCTGTCAAATATCAGAGTTGTATTCTTGTCAGTAGGGTATTTTTAAAGGGAGAAGTTATGATATATCCTAGTTATTGATTAAAAAAAAAAAAAATCAAGCATAACAAGGGAAGAACCTCCTTATCAAGGCATTAGAAAATCATAGCAATACAATATAGAACATTTTCACTAGGACCTGACTGAATAAGGTCTGATAAACTCTGAAAAACATCAAAATGAACCACAAAAATAGTGCAAGTATAAATGCTACATAGTGTAGAAACTCCCTATTTTTAGCTAAAGTCAAGTTTCATTAAAATTGGTCAATATGTTTATACCATCCCCAAAACACAACCTGTGTGCACTATCCTAAACTTCTGAGGGCTTTATCAACATAGCCAAACAAGAGCTACCTTGCATCTTTCCTTACAATCAGAATTTTCAGGGACAAGGACCTCTCTGAGGCAGGTAATAAGTTAAATCTTGACCATTAACCTTGCTAAAATTCCACCTCTGCATCTCCTCCTGTGTAAACACCTAGAGGCTAAGCAAAGCCTCAGCTGTGGCTAAATGAAGACACTCAGGCTAAACAACAGAAAATAATGCTCTCCCCAAAACAAATGAAAGACATTCTTGATGAATATGTATTCACTATAAAAACAACAATAATATATTATGATAATAAAAATAATGGTAATGTAATTGTAATAATCCAACAGGCAGACTGCCAGGAAACACTGGAGACAGTCAAAAAAAAAATATCATCACAGCTTAAGAGTAACAACAGACACATTCAGGGTAATGCTGAGAGTTAGAAAAAGGAAGAGACCAGATACTCTATTTTGTACACACACTTCAGAGCATTTGATAGTCCTTGTACCCTACTACCACAACAAGGTTATAAATAAGTCTGATGGTACCTGAGCTGCAGCCATGTGCTCAGCATCTTCCTTCTTGCTTGTTGCTGGATAGAACACTATATTATCAATGGTCTGTATCAATTCCAGCTGTACCACACACTTTATAAGGAGGCCAGCAAATAGTTTCTGGTCTAATGAAACGGAGTAACACAAGTTTCAGAAGCAAACTTAGGATAATTCACTTAGAACAAGTTAGAAAAACACTACGTTACCATTAGCATTTTGCTATTTATAAGATAATTCACAGCATCATTAAAGAGAAAATTTCTCTGCAAGGCATAAACACATGTTGTAAAGAGGTACTCCAAGATCAAGTGCCCAAAAACTTTCTCTGCAGAACTACAGAATTGGACTAAGAGTGGCTATAAAAGTTCATTTAATAAACTTGCATGTTTTCCTTACTTGTATAAGGACCACCTTTCCAGCTCTCATCTGTTGGATTTGAAAACTGACTTTGTCCTCTTTCGGAAGCATTTTTATCCATGCTGCTCAAAGACTGGTGATCTAGGTCTAAATCCTACAAAAGAATGCAGAAAAATTCTAGCAATCCAAAACATTAGCTATACAACAAGCTAACAGTTTTCAGATGACTTCACTAATCTTAGATTCAAGGGCTTCCTGAATCCATGCTATCCTATTTTACAATGACACCAAATACAAACCAATGTCAATTCCAGTATTTGTTGACAAGTGTATTTACTAGAATAAAATATTTTGAAAACTAACCTACCACACTACCCTTCAAGTTATTTTATTGCACAGAATTAATTCCTACCAAGTGTTTTTCAGCTGAATCTTCCTCCATTCCTGCAGGCCTCCATGTCAGCAAGCTTCACAAAGTTAAAAAAAAAAAAAAAGTAGTAAATATTGTTGCTCTTGATTCAGGTATCAATATGAGAATTAAATTTATGAACTTACACATGAGGAATAGTGGTTTTGAAGATTTCTAGCATACAATTGCATGTCTGGCCCCAGACTTCAGGGCTGAAATTCTGTCCATTTAGTATTACCAGGTTTTCGAGGCAGTTTGTACCTGATCGAGCCAACTGCTCATTATCTGTGAAATGAATGTTCCATATTTATCAACTTCTACTATATGAATAAAAAAGTAAGCATTCTCTATTACTGCTCTGTTAAACATTTTTACCGATATTGTGAATTGCATGGTTTCTTAGCTCAAAGCCTACTTACAAAGTATATTACAATAATACCAAGCTTAGGAACCTATTGAATAAAAATTAATATTTAAAAATAGACTTCAGGAGATTGAAATCCAAACAGGGAAGACAGAGGACAGGAGAGAAGCAGAAAGAAAGCATACAGTGCAACAAAGGAAGGAAAAGCACCTATTAGAAACCTATGATTTCCTGCAAGGTAGTCCCACCACATTCCATGCTGGCAGTATGCAGGATTTCATGCATAAGAGTTGAAGCCCAAAAGAAAACACATTCTTTAGAAAGTTGTATGTAGAAAGTAATGGGGAGGGTTAGAGAAAAGAAGAAAAAAAAAATCAGAATGCATACATATGTGTGTGTGTGTGTATATATATATATATGTGTAAATAAATGAGGTATTTTATTCATGCTGCCAAATGGAAAAAGGTTGCTGGCAGAAGATTAAGCCAACTCTTTAAAAGCTTTTGCTCTGTCAAAATAGCACCATAAACACGTTATAAACACAGTAATGGAAGAGCTACCTAGCTGATTTATTCTTCCAAAATTCAGTTAACTTTCCTCTTAAGTAACGAGCATTTAAAAAATACATTAATCAAAATGTATAAGTAAATAAGCTACCTTGTTTTACACACCAGTGTAACTGTGCAAGTATGTCAGGAAGAAGGATCTCATTTAAAGCTTCATAAAATTGCGTGAATACATCACATATTGCATAAAGTGCATGGTTGCATGTGGTGGTCATCCATTCAGATTTCTGAGAAAAAAAACAAAAAGTCTTTATTTTTATGTGGGTGGTTCTATAATGACAGCACTTAGCTTTTGCACAGCTATTCAACAAAGGACATGGCCTCTGAGGCAAGGAATAGAATTTAGATAAAACTGAAAAGCCTCACTACTACAGATGTCTTGTCAGAAGCATTAAGTTGGCCACACAAACACTGTTCTAAAAACCATACATTTCCATAAAGTGTGAATATTCTCCTTCAAAATATTGAGGCAGACAGATAGGTCACTGGGTATTATGACAAATTTCATACATACCCACAGAATACAGTAGAATACAACAACATATCACTAGGTTTGGGGCAGTACGAGGTGGAAATACACTGACAATACCACCAATACAAACTTATTCCTTGATTGTTTGAGTTGTTAAAAAAAACAACTCAAACATTTTCTTGCCTTTTGTTTGTTTGATTTTGTTGTTGTTTTTACCTCCGTTTGTTGTTCAGGGAGTTTCATATTATCAAAAATCCGAAACACAATTCTGAATAGATCTTGCCACCAGTGCTTTTCAAAAGTATGGCCATAACTCTTCATTATTTCAAACATCACTGTTAAGCCTCTATAAACAAACCCAAACATAGAAAAAAGATGTTAAAATACATACCTGAGATCTCTTCAATAACTGAATTTAAAAAAAAAAAAAAAAGCTTTCTTACCTTGTTCGAACATCTAATTTGCAACGATTGATGATACAAGAAAGTTCAAATAAAATGGGAAACCACCCTCTAACCCATACTCTGTCTCCAGGAGCAACATTCATGTCATCACTCGTGTATTCTCTTAATACCTTGGAGACATGCAGAAGAAAAGATTTAAAAAAACAAACAAACAAAACAAACCAACCACCTCAAAAATCTTTACATCTGACAGATTTAGATAATACTAGTGGCACAGACAGACTTGACAAGTTAGCTTAGTTTCTACCATAACACACAACTCCTGTAAAAGAGAAGTACAAAACTGAGACGTAACTATTTGTGAAAATATGAGGGAAAAAACTATGGAAAATAACTACTTAAATAAATTTTACTTAGGTCCTGCTAGATGCTTTACAAGTTGCAGAGATTTGGATATTAGGAAGCAAGATTAACAGTGACATGCAACAATTATATAAATATAGGTAATAAGGAAATCTAAGTTTGGCATAAACCAGTTCTACATTTTCCTGGCATATTGGATACAATATGCACATCTCTCAGTGGTAACACACAACTGCAATTTAACTCCAGGCTCTTTTCAGCAAAATGATTGTTATATTGAGTATTTGCACAATAGACTAATGTAGAAAAATATGCATGTTTGTAACCAATTTAACTAGACATGATTAGGGTGACAGAACAGGAAGTATTGTTTTCCAGGTCATCCTAACGCTAAAAAAAAAAAGAGACTATTTCATTCAGTTATTTCCAATTTGGACTGATGAGACTTAAAATTTTTTAATTAGTCCTAGTTTACTGCTTACATAACCAAAATGACTCTTAATTCTAAATTAGCTTTTAATATAAACACTGCTGGGAGACTTGAGTCTGAAAGCTCTTTCTTAGTTACAAGATAAGTCTCAGTTTAACAGTAGAAGTTAGTTTAGGAATACACAAGGGTGAAAATTAAAAGAAAATACCTGTGGTCTTTCTGAAACATATTTTGCACAATACCGAATAAGTCTAATAGCTTCCATGCTGGTGTCCGGAAATGCAACATTACAGGCAAACTCAGAAAGACACTTTACCGCATCCTGAAATGAGTCAATTGCTGCTGGAAAGTGCTGCTGAAAAATATTTGCTGTGAAGAACAAAGACACTTTTTAAAATTTACAGATAGTGAAATCCATAGATAAACTGGCATTGATCTACATATGTCAACCATGTTATACCACTACTGAATAGACAAACACAAAAAACCCCAGATCTTCTAGATTAAATATGGTTTTCTGTTTTCCCTTGCATTCTTCCCCATCCCACCCCACCCCCCAAATTTGTCAGCATTGTATTTTCTCGTGTTGGATAATTACCAATTTTATAATCTAAGATTATTTCATGGCTTCTTACATGGTTCAGTTTCCTCCACAGCATATGCAACCCAAAGCTCTTAAAATATTTTGAGAAATAATAGGAGTAAAGCTTGATGTTAGGTTCCCTGCTGTGAAAGAAGTTACCTAATTCACCTAAATTATAAGCCTGTAATTATTCATATTCTGTAGCAAGAGAGGAAAAGTTAGTTAGATTTCAGACTTAAGGGACAAACTAAATGCAACACAAATCCAATGTGTACAAGCTTTTGAACAAACTATAACTCCGAAGATCTATGCAATTCAATTTGGCAAAAAAGTTTTGTTACTATCTGCATTTATTAATACTGTCCATAGCTCTTTTTCCCCATGCTACTTAATGGGAAAAGGGTAGTTTCAGGACATTGTCTTCCTTTGAAAGTGGTAGCAGTATGTTGTCCAAATATACTTTTAGAACAGGTAGATTGTATGAACAAAACTCCGTAAGTAGTCACATATCAACATCACAACCTTTATGATCCCCTTATAATACGATACTGAATTGGCATGGAAGTTTGTGAAATGCATTCCTTAACCCAAAACAAATTATTGTGACAGATGGGGCAACATACAAACTTATTGAATGTATTCCAAACTTCCAAAGCTCTATAGCAGGATATCTATATGTAGTTTTTCCTGTCCATAGTCATCAGAAGACTTAACAGGTAAGATGTAGCTGCAGAGTTTAAACAGTTTGGCTGCAAGATGCTGTGTTTACTCACCTGGAAATACAAAAGTCTTATTAAGATGGGCCTTTTAAACTAGAACCACAGCCGCTAAACTAATTTGGGTACTCATATCTGTCAAGAATTACTTACTAACTATGTGTGCTGTAGTTTGAAAGGCCAGCTCCACAATATTCCCATCATGGTCGGACGCTGCTTGATGAAAGACTGCAAAGATGTTTTTCCAGCCTGATCGAATATTACCAGCTTGAGAGTTCACCATCTGAGCAATACAGCGTATTACCATGTCCCGAATAGTTGGAGATCTTAAAAAAAGAGAAAAGTAAGACTTTCCCAAGTGGCACAATTTTTGCCCTGGCACAAAGTAACTGTGCCACTTGCCGTACATGACAATCTAACCCACACCAAGTAACATCTTTAAGTAGGGCTAAAGCAAGCTAAACACAGAAACTGCCGTGCATCATACCTGTTTTTCTTCATAATATGCTCAAAAGGTCTTAGGAAGTCTTTCTGGAAGCGGAAGTTGGCTAACTCTCCCTTCTCAAGAAATTTCATTGACAGCTGCCTTAATGAGTCTACTGCAAAGATGGCAACATCCTCATTAGGGTTACATCCAACCTAGATGAAAAGCATATTTTCAAACACTTAGCAGCTAATGTATTACTTATACAAGAAACAAATTCATCATTCAAGTTTCATGTCAGTCCCCTAAAAACAGCTAACACATTCTAGTGTTCAGGTATTTAGAAAACAGGTGGTTACTTTCAGAGAAGGATTTCTCAGTCATTTGATCCAACCAGACTGACCCATGGATTCTGTATGCAACAAGTGCAGAACTATAATAGCCAGCTGGACACTAAAATAGAAATAGACATCTTAGGCTAACCTCCTCCCCCAAACATGGTCCTTTTCCTACAGAAAATTACTCTGTTCCTCCAGGATCATCCATATATATTTTAGAGGAAAACTATCTTGGCATTTGATCAGAAGGATAAAGACAATGACAAAGAAAAATTACAAATACAAAATCATATAACGAAGTGATTAAAGATCATTCCCAGAAATAGCTCCATTCCTATTTATATGCTTTAGATTTTTAAATAGGTGCTTCCTTTAGGGGCCTCCAATGGATTTTTTCAGTAAGAACATAAGAGGAAAAAGCTGATTGAAGAAGTCCTGCTATTCATATATGTTCTATAACTTGATTTAAAAAAATACCTTATTGAAGTGATCTCCAATCACATGCCAAATCCTTGACCACTGCAGTCTAATGCGATTCATGTTGTAATATGATATCTCCACTATCTTCTGCAGGCTGAACATGCGTGGATGGTGTGGGGAAGCCAGCTCATCCATGGAAACAGCACACAGCCATCGGACAAAGTCAACTGAACAACAAAACACACTACTGTAAGTTCAGGACATTACGTTGCAAGAGTTCCTGTAGCCCACCAAAAGGTCAGCATACATACCTATCGCATTTCCATCCAGCCTCGTTGATCCTGTAAATATCCTGTGGAACAAATAAATGAGTTGCAGTTTGAGCTGCGCATCCACAAGAGTCAATCACATCTTAGGGATGTAAGCAAAAAACATCCCACTCCTGGAGGTAATTTACAATCCTCCATGCCATGAACTCTGCAACTGTTTCATTCTTACTCGTTGGCAGTTCATGTCCTTCTCCCAGTCTAAGCATTCTCTTTCCTGCTGCAGGTGACAGCCTACTGTGCTCCTACCCCACTGCAGGAAACAGGCACAGGGTCCCAATTTTATCCAGGGCAAGTAGTGCTGCAACACTCATTTATGTGACAGCATGTTAAATTTCACAGGGAGAATAGAAAGACATTAAGAAAGATTTGGTGCAATACTTTAGTGGATGCCAGTGACCTGCTTGATCTTTATATGGTTCAAGAATACTGTAAGTTGTGGCCATCAAAAGAAAAAGCAGAAAGACTATGGATGCACCATTGTCCCTTCTTACCCTTCAGCTGTTCAGAGTCTTGAGAGGAGTTCATCCCACTGACAGTGGTTCATATAAAACACTGATAAGTGGAGAACGTTCCCAAAGCTTTTAGATTTTTATATGGTAACAGGCACATTTATGTTACAATAAATACTTCAAGTCTGACTATGTGATTCTACAGACTTGCCCAATAGTTTCAATAATTATAAAAAAGTCCCCTTCCAACACACGGTTTATGATAAGAGCATCTCTTCACACAACATTTTAAAAGGACAGATGAGAAAAATAGCGATTTAGATGAGAACGCAATGACTAATGAATAAAGAGCTCAAGAACAGCAAAGAGAGAAATGCTGAAATAACAGAAGTTCACAAGACCAAAGAAAACTGCATGGTTTGATAGGTTAAGGGCATTTATTAAATTTCAGATACCTGTCCTGTTCAGACTGAAAAAAAAAAGGAAAAAAAGTCCTAGGGAAAAAAAAGAAAGAACCCAAATACACAGAACACAGAAGTCAGAGACAACTATCAGACAAATTTATTAACCAAAAATAGGTAAATATTCTAATATTAACATAATTCTGGTCTTCACTGGCATACACACAGTACCCCTTCTCACAAAACACTACATGAGTTCTACTACTATTTAATCACCATCTTTTGTGAATATTACATGTCTAAAGAGATATACTCATTGGGTCCAGAGAAAGCATCTAAGTATCAGAATCGTTCTCACAAGAGAAAGAGGCTTCAAGAACAGCAGCCCCTGTCAGTGTCTGCAAATAAAGTGAGGATGGGTCAGTAACTTCAACTCACATTCCCCAGAAAGATTATATTCTCAGTACCTGTCTACTGCTACCACTACACTCTGTGAACTGGTCTCTCCCACAGACTCTTGAATGCTTGCCATATGTCGTTTATCAGCTCCACTTCCCACAAGGTTACCTGCAATAAGAAGACATTAAAAACTAGTATTCAGCCTCATGAAATTATGACTTTAAGCCCAACTTAATACAAGTAGACAAAGAAAAGTGTCTACTGCTTCCAAATTAGCATATAACTTATATGGAGCAGATGATGCCTTTGCCAATTCTGTGCCATATTATTACAAAATTAAACATCTAGTAAGAAGTATGTTTCTTTTCCCTTAGAGCATTGTGCTTTGACCATCATGTTTATTAAGTTAAGAAAACACAATGCTGTTAAGACTGGAAATTATAAAGTATTAATTTAAAACATGAACTTTAAGTTAGATGCAAGTAGTCAACACTGAGCACAGTTCTGTTATATTCATCATCATCATAGTATTTTCAAATTAGAAGGTTTCCTTGGTGGTTTTCCAAAGATTAAGGCAACTTGCTTTGTCCTTCTAATTTACAGCTTAAAAATCTAAGCTCTGTTTCTTGCACATGCTGCAGGAATACGAACTAGAACAGCAAGCCCAACATGCAGAGATAAGAAATTCTTTTGGAAAACCAATTATTGGATCATTGAAACATGTATTAACTCCTAAAGGTAAATGGCTTATGTTTTTATTGTTAAGAACAGAGTGCAGAAAGAAATAATTGATAATACTGGTAGCAAAACCATGACCTAGTAAGTATAATAGAACAGTTTTGACAACAAAATATTCCGACAAATAAAACTAGAGGAGTTTTGTTAAATAGCTTAACCCAACTACGAAGTTAAAACAGATTTGATAATTACAAATACATCTTGCAGTATACCATTCCATTTTTTTAAGTTTTATCAATCCAGTATCGCTTACCCTGGAAGCAAGTGAATTTATTTTAATATCTTATAACACTGAACTTTCTTAGCCATCACACTTCATTTACATGTGCATCTTTGTGAAGTCCAAGATTATTCATCTTACCTAATCCTAGGCCCATAAACTCTTCCCCTCCAGATGCATAGCCTTTAATGCTTCCTTCCCTTTCACGCCCAGAGCCAGATAAATACCGAGTTTTCACTCCAGTTCCTATAAGTTGTGCTAGTTCCAGCTGGCTAATACATTTCAAGATCTAAAACCAAAAATATTTGAACATTGTGTTTCTGGACACCATCACATTTTTATTCTTAACATTTTTATTTTTAATATTTATAACCCTTCCAGGTTCTCTAAACTTTAAAACAACTTTGACAATGATAACATTCTGATGTAGCTGAAACATTACTAATACAACTGGAAATAAAGTTGAGTGATTCATTCAAGATCACCAGCTGCCATGAACCAGTCCAATATGAGAAAAAAAAAAAAAGTGCCCTAAATCAAACTTGGATCTCTAAGTACTAGAGGAAATCATTTTATTACTTCTCACAGCATCAACTTCCAGAACTATAAACAACTCGGAGACAATCTTCTAGAGAGTTCATTGTCCCAGAGAGATAAAAAGACTGAATTATTGCAGCTACCACTGAGTAATAATGCTCCAAACTAGACAGTGAAAATGCCAAAACTCTGCCTTGCCATCAGCACAAAACCTCTTCCTTCTTACTTCCCAGCTCTGCAGCATCCCCTGGACTGGCACAAGCATTTGTGATGGTACACTGTAAGCCAGGATCAAGTAATTTATCAGCTAAAGAACCTTTTCGCTCATACAATCATGTAGCTAGAGACTATTCACAGAGAACATATTGCAGCAGGAATGCTCCTTTTAACAGTAGCACAGATTTAGGTCTAATTAAAGAGCTCCTGGTAAATATGTGTCAAGAAAATATATAAGAACCTGATAGCCAATCTTGACCTATCCCCCACCAAGTTATTTTAGTCCTAACTTTTAATGTTATCATGGTATAAATATTGCCAAATACTGCACAGACAAATCTGGACCTGTGTGCTAGAACGTTTTTGTTTACATGAACAAGAATAGAATAGCTCGTGCAGAATTCTCTGAAGTTAAATGAGATTTTAATATGGTTTTAATTCCATACCAAAAGCACCTACTAAAATTATAGTATTGGTCACACAGTGTCTATAGGGTGCGCCAAAAAAAAAAAGCAGTTAATTTTATATATATAAAGAATCCTTAACAAAATAATGCTCTTATACCTACATTTTAAACAGAGTTCTGACACATACAGGGATCTAATACAGTTATTAAGAGTGGAAATAGCAGAACATCATCTTACAAGTTTTCAGAGGACAATGCAGTTGCACTGCTTAAACGAATCATGTCTTTACCTCGTGCCAAGAGTTCCCAAGATAGTTGCCATCTGTGTGAGCAACTGTAATAAGTGTCTTAATGGTATCTATATTCTTCTGTTTCATTTCTGTAATACTGGAACTGGCAGTCAACAAGGAAAAACGAGCAAGAGCCTGTACGTAAGCATCTCGTTCAAGCTACAAGACAGAGAAATAAGCATCGTAATCAAGTCTGTGAAGAGCCAGAGAAAGCTACTTGTCCAGCATGCCTAAACAATTTTCCTTCTATGTATAGTTGGCACTATTAGAGCACTTTTCAGCTGAAGGAGAGTAGAAGGCACGTTAGCAAACGCTCTTAATAGAAGACTCAACAGTGAAAAGAAAGCAGAGTTGAAGAAAAGCTTGATATCAAGATCTTAAAACAAACTGAAACGAGAGGCAGTATTTTATTTTACCATTTCAAAAAAGTAGATGAGACACTTCATTTTCTAAGTCGTTTGTAATTCTTCATTTCCCTCCCATAGCCTACACTGCCCTTAGCAAGCTCCATGCTAAGTCTTATACAAACCTGCATTCCAAAGATACAGGCTATTCTAATTGCACATCGTATTCCTTCCAAACACAGGGATGCAACTTCTGTGTCATCACAGTTCTGCAAGCCAACACTGTACGCTGCCAGCAACGGAGTCCATACAAGCTAAAGAAAGGAAAAAACTCAGTTCAGAAGTCTATTACGATTTTAGAGCAAAACACTAGGTATCTGAAACCAAACATATCCGAAGAGTCCACCAGTTGCATTAACTAACTCTTCAGAGTAATTTTCCACTTTTTTTTCATGCTTAAAACTTTTAGCAATGAAGAGACAAGGAGAAATTCACACTCACTTTGAACATGGGTCTGACATGATCCAGATGAGTGGCACTAGTAAAAGGAGCCTTTGCATGGCTTACTGCTTCCATGAGGGCTTTAGCTGTTTTAGCCATTTGTTCCATCTCCAAGTTGTACAACAACCTCCGCTGCTTCTCATTAGCTACGCCTAAGGGGAACACCACACAGTTGCATTGGTTTCTCTTTTATAAAAGCATATTCCATGTCTTCACACTGAATGTAAAAAAATGTTAAATGAAAGTATTGACAAATGAAACGTCCCTGCCCATGGCAAGGTGACTGGAACTATATGATCTTTAAGGTCCTTTCCAACCCAAACCCTTCTGTGATTCTACGATAAATCTAAAAGCAAAAATTTTCCAGAATGTTAGGATTCACGAGGCTGTCATCGGCAGCAAGCAAGGAACTCCAGCACTAAAACCCACACCTCGATTTAAGACTTCATTTTAATTACTTTATTGCACAAAGATATTTTCAAAAAGGGATCTGAACTCCACTATGCTATCCTGGAAGTTACTGTAACAGTTCAAGAGCACTGTGGTCTTTCCAGCTTCTAGTACTTCCTTACTTGGTTTACTACACTTTGTTGTAATTGCGTATTCTTTTGTTTCTTTCATTGCAATTTTCTTTCCTTCTATTTCTTCATAGATTGTGGATAAATACTCTACTGGCAGGTCTTTACTGTCATTGATTCCTCGATTCATTTTAATGTATTGCTCCTTTGTCATCTTATTTTTTACCTGTAAAAAAGAATGTAAGTTGGATATCAGATTTTGAATGCAAGTTCCAGGTAAATTTGAATTTCTACAAGCTTGTTTTTTTAATTTCTACCTGTGGACTGTGCAAGTCTGTAGTCAGCATTATAATAGAGTATGCCAAAACATAGGCAGTGTCAGCACTAGCAAATAGCGTTTGCCTAAGAGAGGAAAAAAAAACACAACAGATTTTTAGAGCCCTAATTCCTCAACCCATTAGCTCTATTTCTACATGAAAGAGAAATACTCAGATGTGCTATGCATTCAACCGAAGAGCTAACAGAGCCTAAAACTAGGGCTTCATACATTCCTAAAGACTAAAGTGCTTTAAAATGCAAATAAAAAGGGGAAAAAATACAAAAGCGTCTTCTTCACAATGTTGAAAACTAGCAATGACTGGAATTTTCAAGTACATTCCCAAAAGATTATACATTATCCTTCTTTGAGTAATCCTACAAAAAGCTAAAAAACAGCTTATTTTTCACTCCCAGGGTTTCATAGAGAATTATACAAAACCAGTGATGCACCAACTGGACTAAGGAATGAGAACCAATTAAGCCTGAACACGTAGCTAAACTTCAATGCTAGTTTATTGCATTAGAAACAATAGCAACGCTGCCTACTTTGTCAACGAACTTGTATATACATTTTGTTCAACATGTAATGGGCAAAAACATATGTAACATCTTATTAGCTATTTATGCCATATGGATTTAATTTTAGTACTTCCTCATGGTTATTACTGTTCTTTACACTTGACTGATCTACATTTGTTTAAAAACAGAACAGCTAATACAGAGATAATTTAACATACTTAGGGCTTCCCTCTTGCAGTAATTCCTTCTAGCAAGTGCTTGGGATTTAATGAAATGCCAGCATCAGGATACTTTGTCCAAAGCTTCCATTTCGCCTAGCTGCTGAAGAGTTTCAGCACCAAGAGTAGCAACAAGATCTGCTCTGCACATAAGCCTGTAGAATTTCCTGGCCTGGTATGAGTGTGAGTTGCACCTAGCCTTTAACGGCCACAAACAATACAGCCATTCTTCAGGCACCTATCCAATACAAAGGTTTTGAATTACCGTTGGTTGCATTCAATATATCTAGCAGCAAACTTCTCCATCAATCTATCAATCTTCTGGGCTTCACCTGGCAGACGAAAACCTTCCAGAAATATACGCAGGGCAGAGACAAAGTCTTTTCCACAGAAATCAAGCTGGTCTACATAGGCATACATCACTTCCTTGTTAAACTTGTTGCTTTCCCCCAGAAATTCCCCTACTTGAGTCTAGAAACACAAGAGACAGTTAGTACTGTGTAATTCAACTGCCAGCTTTGCAAGGAAGTTTATAGTACAAGAATTGCACAGCTGTCAATGTTGTAAGACTGATAGGCTTCACTGAGCAGGCAGAGCAACCGTCAGAAGGATGACAAGAAACCAGAATCATTACAAATGCCTTTAGTCTGCATATTCTTGCTTCCCTCACTCTCCAAGGCAAGGTCTGCATTACTGTAGAGCCAAGGAAAGCTGAACCATGCCCAGTTTCAGCTGCAGTAGAGAAAGCTTGATATTCCCAGCTACCTACCGCTAACGCAGATACAGATAGAACGGAAGTTCCCATTTATGGGGATCCCTTCAGTGCTTTATTGTAAACACAGCTACTTTACTAAAAGGCCTTGGACATCAAGACAAGCATTAATAGAAAGTAGCATTGTTATTAAGTACCTTCATTAGAACCCTTACACTTTCAGTTAACTATTAATGAAATATGATCTAAAGAGAAAGCGCATATAGACATGAGAACACAGGGGAAAATATGTTAAGGGCAAAAGCATTAATTATGTTGCATGTAGTCTTACAGAACAGAGACGTTCTTCTTGGTGCAAAAATTGTGCAATGTCCTCTGCTGTAGTGCCAAGCATTCCCTGCTCCTGTAGATACTGTATTCCTCTCTTTGGTTTTTTATTAAACCTATTCAGACAACAACATGGGGAAATTAAGACATACAATTGAAAAATATCCCAGTCTACAGAAGTTTTGTTTTATAGAGCCTTTCTAAACCAAAAATTCTGTGCTGTAGCTCTATGTCTTTTTTTCTAGTTAGAGAAAGGTTAAGGAATGTGTAACAAGTGTATTAACTATATCGCACTTTAGGCTACATCTCAAGGTACATTCAATTGCTGATAAACCTAGAAGTTATTGCTGGAAAACTCCCTTAAAAACTGACCCTTTGGAAATATTAAAAGTTGGAGAATTTCCATGAAATGTTAAAAGTGTTGCTGTTTAAAACCTTTCCACAGCATTTACAGACATGAAGACTTTCAATTTAATGAAAAAGTACTAAAGCGTTGCTGGACAATGATCAAATTGTCCAAATTCTATTTCAATAGAAGACAACAATTAGTGTAAGAGCTATAAGACAATATTAAGCCTGCTTGCTCAAATCAATTTCCCTCTAGGTATACACACACTTTCCTCTCTTGTGCAGATGAACCAGCACAAAGGAAAGCTGTGAAACCACCCTCCACTCCACCCAAGATTTATACTGAATGTCTTTTAACTACAATAGCCTCCAGCGTAGGCTTTTGACAACAGCAGGCAAGAGTCTTCAGCATGAAGATCAACTTGTAAATGTCCTTACAGGTTTGACTGTGTAAGACCCCATGAAAAAAATATGGTTGTACATATAGTTTTTTAACTAGTGAACTTTTATTTTCCCATCATACTGGACTTACAGTTCTATCCCATGTTCAATGATTTCCTTTTGTTGCTTGATGACTTCAAATTGCTCAGGGTCATCTGGGACAGCAGTCTGGGTTCCAACACTTCCAACTCCTGATGACACAGTGGAGTCCAAGGAACTGACACTACTCCGTCTCCCTCCACTCTCAAGGCATTTACCTTCAGCCATTTCCTGTTCAGATGGTTTATAGGAACCTATTTATAAACAGGGCAAGACTTAAGTTATCCTGTTCAGTCAAAAGCTTTTAGTTTTAGAACTTTTTAGTAGAAATTTATGAGTCAATATTCTTATTTTACCACATGTATTTTTCTACATTACATGAAGACACTTTATAGATGCAGTTCTAAAATAATCTAACAAAAGATTAGATTTTGCTGAAGAAGAGCAGCAGCAGCTGTGGAGAAATTCTTGCACTTCAACTTAGTAACCGCAAGATTTGTCACATGCCTATTCTACATAAGCCAGCTTTTACAGTGTAGACAATGGCCTGGCTAAAGCTCTTAAACAGAACCTGGTTATTTGAACCAGACACTTGGAGAGTCAATTACCACAGAAGCATTAACAATTGTTTGTAAAATACTTAATTTGTTTAAACAAATCCTTATGTAAAAGCCTAGCATCCACGCTTCTGAATAGCTTCTAAACACTGAATAAACACAAGGACAAACTTAGTAAACAAATTAGTCTTTCCATAAGGAAACAATCTTACCCAAGCTAGCCTGATGATTGGGGTTCACATAGAGGTCTTTGCTCCATTCTACCATACATTTTAAAATAGAAACCAAACATTCAAGTCCTTTTTTCCTCAGGCTTAGTTCCTAAAAAAACAAAACAGAAAAACCCGCCTAAACCAAAAAACCCAAACCAATATATGTATATCCACAATTTTTTAGGGAGGCATTACATCACACCATTCAAATCTTAGAAAGTCTGTCAGTTAGGGGAAAATCTGTTGGTTATAACATATTTTTTGCCCCTTGATTATTTAGGTTGGATACATCTGGTCCAAAAACTGTAACCAGACTGACACCAGAACACATTCCAGCCGCTTTAAGTACATTGTCTATTGACAGCTGATGAGTACAACTGAGGGGCAATATACACCAAATCCTAAATGCAGCCCTTTTGTTGTATGAATGATTATGATCATTCACTAAGTCTCTAGTGACAAATACTCTCCACAAGCAAGACAAGTGTCTCACTCAGCTATAAAATAAACAGTTCTAGGCAAATCTGAAACAAACATATTCTGATTTTTACTTCCATTTGCTGGTGAAAGGAACAAAGGAAAAAAAAAAAAGTAGTAAAACAATCAGGCAAGCATTGATACGACTCTAATCTAAGGTGTGAGGTACACTTAGATCTGAGACCAACACTGGCACCAAGTTCACTTCAGCCCTGAAACCCATTAGGCTGGGCTAGAAAAACACTGCTGTAGGACAAAGACAACAACAAATATCTGTTCTTGCTGAAAGCAGTCTATACTCCACCCTCATTTTAAGGATTGGGAAAGTATAACTTTAAAAATAAAACACTTATGGTGGAGATATGGCACAAAGTTTGTGCAAAGCATATATAGAAAGAAGGTTTATAAGCTCCAGAAGGAAAGTCATTTCAGTAAGGCAGTGGAAGGCTCATTTGATTCTCTCTCCCATGGCAGCCCAAAAGAGCACAGAACAAGCCTAGTCTCACAATGTAAATATGCAGCAAAATCATCAAGTAAATTAATCATATTGCTTCAGCATCCCATTGCTAATTAGCTAACTCAGAAAGTAAGTAACATCAGTAGGTTGCAGACCACACAAATCACTGGAAGTATCAATAACGATGCAGAGAGCACCATTTATGGAAAAAAAAAAAATAATAGTACTTTATCTTCAAAGGTCTTTTTCTTACCTGTAAAGGTGTCATTCCCAACTCATGCCCACTTCGTCCTTGTGCAATTTTGGACAAATCATTTACAAGTCGTTCAAATATATTAGCAGCGTTTAAATCGCAGTCATAGTTAACATAGATATCCACTACACACTGGGCATCTTGAAAATAAAAGAAAGAGCAATTATTAGGATTCAGTATAACAGCATTTTTAAAAGGAATCAGCCAGTTGGAACAGGCAGACTGGCTTAATGCAGACATTTAACCCTAGCACTACAGGATCAAATTAAATTTTTCACACAAACATTATACGTGGCATTTGTCTTCAAAATAATTTTCATCTGCTGCCAGAGGAAGTCACTGCTTTTCACAACAGTGGAAATACCTGCACAAATTCTAGTTAAAGTCTGAATCACCATCCATTTATGTTCAAAGGAGCTTGAGGAAGTTTCTAGAATATTCAGGAAGATTTCTTTGAAGAACACCTGCAAAATAAATGAGGTAAAGGACTTAAATCTGAAATTTATTAGAACAACTTCAAATGTTCAAATTCATTTCTCTTTGGTAATTTCTCTTTAAGAGTATCATCTCGCGCATATTAGAATTTCAGTACAGTAGTATACGAGTTTATTAAGAAAACAAAACTAAGATGTTAACTTCAAAGTTCCAGCTGGCTCTATTATTGCAGTTTTCATTTGAGCATCATACAAGCGATCGATAAAAGTCTCTCACCTCAATCTGCATTTTTAGATGGGTTTTAAAATTTGAAAGCAGTGTGAGAAAGATGGCAAGAGAGAGTTCAAATACATCAGGAACAGAAGAGACTCCATTTTTAGATAATGCCACACAAAGATATTGCTTGATTGCATTGATGAACATTTCATGTGTCCTGAAAACTGGACCAGCATTCTGCAGTACTGAGAGAAGAAGCTGGAGAGACACTATCTTAGAACGCAATTCATGGGATCTAGAAAAAATGCAACATTAAATATATATTTATTTTATTTCTGAATGCATACTTATATTCAACTTGTATGGCCACTATAGCATTTCTTCCATGTCAGGAAAACAGAACGGCTCTTTTAGTTCACTTCAAAGCCAGGGGCAGGAGGGGTGGAAATCAGCCTGCCAGTGATTTTGGATGACATCTACCATTGTAATCTGGAGATTTTCCAAGAGTATTAACACCTTAGACTAGCATAATAGATGCAACTCAGTGGCACTAAGAAGCATTCCCCCACCCCCCTATCAAAATACTCACAAATACTATAGTCAAGGCCACTTCAACCGATAAGGTTAATAAGCCCGTTACAGAAAAAACAACCCTCAAGTCTTAAATTTTCATAATTTGAAGCAAGTTTCAATCCTAGACTCATCAAGCTAACTAAAACAAGGGCCTGACAAGTGAATTTTGAATACCTGTTTTACTACACAGCAGCTACTTAACTGTCTCCAAAAGCTACCTGAAGAGGACAGTGTAACAAACACAGTCTCATTACTTGGGATCTGGCGGTCCATCACCAAGTGGTTTCATTGAGAGCTTGCACAACGATCTGAACACAAGGAAGGCATCCTTTTGTAGGACATGGGAAAATTTGGCAGCAGCTTGATGTCCAGAAACATCTGTTTCCTTGAGAGCAAGAAACACATTAGATCTTCAGTGAGACAAAGGAATGGAGCAATTAGGAAGATTCCACAGCTCCTCTGAAAATTAGCTACAGATTAAAAAGGAAGAGGTACATTTGGCAAAATTTAAACCAAACCTGAACAGGACAACAAGTGATGTGGATCTTTTCACACACATTGACCAACTTTTCCTCTCCACCCCCACACTATATTAAAATATAACATTCAATTTTAGAACAGTTGTTTTCAATATCTACTTAAATTGCAGTTGCTGCTTCCTTTTCAAACCTGAGCAGGACACATACATTAAAGTTTCCGTCCCTTCCCTCCCCAAAATCCCACTGAATTAACTGGCATGATAAAAAACATTTCTCCTTTCCTAAATATACAGTAACATCCAGTCAACTTACCAGATTATCAGCGGAGGAAACAGATTGCCCATCATCTGGAATCCCGTTTGTTTGTACATTTTCATTACTAGAGCCAGAAAGAACAATATCTGCAGTCTCTAATGCAGATGAAGCCTTAACTGTTATCTGCTTTTCTTCAGCCACTAAAGAGGAAAAAGGAAAACTGATTAAAATCACCCATTGAGCTTTTTTATCCCATGACTTTGTGAAGCTCTACAACCAAGTGGGACAGAAGCAGCACTCGTAAATGAGAGAGTCTCTCACCTACCAGCAAAAGAATATTGTGAGACAATAAAAACCTGTTCTTACTCCCTTAGTAGGTGTTCTTGACAAGATACTTAGTAACAAAAAATAACTTGCACGCTTTTATAATCACAGTAATAAAAGTTTGGCAATATACATGCATCTACTTTACTACCTTTCACAGCTGACTTGACCACATCTTCCAAGATGCCTTCAACCATTTCCTTTCCTCCACCAGTTGTTTCCTCTAATGAAACAGAGATAATTTTGAATTAGTACTTCTGTTTGGTAAGAAGGTAGAAAGGAGATGCATGACAGAGGCAGAAATGTTAAAAATTATAGGTTTTCTTTAGTAGTTCTCCTCTAAAGTAATTTCCGAGAAGTCATACAAAAATACTCGTTGATGTTATTTCCATTGTTTAAAACAAAGCACTGATATTTTAATGCAGTGTTTTTGTCATTTGTATTTATCATATCAACTGTTACAAACTTTTACTTTTGGAATACCCTATGTTTCTAATTTGGGTACAATATATGTTTATGATAAGGTCTTCATAACACACATTATTTTTATCACAGGACTTCAGTTACCCCAAAGCGATTCTGTCACTTCCCACATACCATGATTACTCTCTTACTTTGCTTCTCCTTTATCAACCTAATCAAATTAAATTTCATTATAATTCTATATACATCAACTATATATAGTTGTACTAGAATTTTAGAGAAAACATAAGCCTTTCTTCAATGGCTATAATGTTGTAGACAAGCTAAGGATGGCCTGCATACTCTGAACAACTACTGAGAAAATGTAAGCATGATTTGAGTCAATAATCCCCATCACTTCTTCCCAAAACAGCCTAAACACACATTTTCTGACAGAAACATTGTAACTGAAAGCAACAGATACAACCCATTCTTGTTCACCTGGTGCTGAAAGAGTCAGATCCTGCTCCAACTTAACATCGCCATTTTCTGCCCTCTCAGGCTCACCATTTGTTAATTCCACACTTAAAGGAACAGTGTGTTTGCCTTCCTGATAGCTGTGCTTTAACTGACTAATTTTCGGAGACTTGGACACCACTTGAATTGCCGGAGACTGGGATTTTTGCTGATTTGTTTTTTCTACTTCTCTGGATTCCTGTATCTTAAAAAAAACCCAATATGTAAAAGTTAATCTAAGGCACAAAACAGAGTAAGGGTAAACAGACATCTATGATGACTGAAGTTGCTTTGTGAACTCACGTGTTAACAACAAAAAAAACAGTGAAAATATAATGACTTGGCCAGTCAAATTAAAGAGACACTCTTCAAGCTTATTTCAAAAGCATCCCATCATTTGCTTATACAAAGCTATTTGGCAGAAACTACAGTGTGAAACCCTGTTATCAGCAAGAAGCTTGATAATTTTAATCAGTCAGTATGCTTCATTACAGAATTTAACAGTTTTTTTTTTTTTTAATTAAATCAATAGATATCCAACTACAATAACGGACCCATTAAAAACAAAAATAAAAAAAAGTTTTCTGTTCAGTTGTCAAGCCTAAAAGTGTAAGAGGAGTGAATGTAATAGTTACATACAGCTTGATTTTCCATCCGTGTAAAAATTACATTTAACATCTGTGTAAGGGTAGCTTTGGCAGTTGTCTGATTAATAAGATTTTTACTGGCCAGATAGATGTTGTAACAGGTTCTAACAGTCTGAAGAATTGTTCCTTCATGAATTTCTATATATGGAGATGTTACTGCCGTGAGGAGAGCCTGAAAAAGTCCATAACACAGTAAAAATTAAATCTAAGCAAGTAGGTAGCAATACATTTCATGCAGGTCTTCCATAATAATCAATGGGTTTGTTATGAAACACATATCTGTTTGTAAGACTTTATAAGGAACTTCTAGTTCTCTGAAACAACATTTCAAATCCAAGACAGTTTAACAGAACTTCCACATATCTCTGTTCTCTCCTAAGCTGTTAAAGTGTTTTATCACAACTAGTTTTCCACTAGTTGTTGGTCAATTGGTCTATACTGCCACCAAATTAGATTACTAGAAGGTTCACCAACTTCTAACCTCAGCTACATTAGCCCAAGCAGATTTCAGAACCAGAACACACACCACTTGTACTACTGTGCCCGAGAATATACACTGCAGATCTCCCTGGAAAAAGGGAGATGAGAGCAGACAGGCTAGAACCATGATACTGCATCACAGCCACAGTGCCTTCAGTTGAAGGCTGATAGCAATTCATTGGCCTAACGAGTGTGGGCATTACTAGCCCAGATGATGAACATCAAACTGTCTGCAAGATAAAGTATCCAGGCCATGGCTCATCCCAGAAAGGAGGACAAACATTTATAACATATTTCTGCTTCACCACGAGGAAATACATTTCACATACCAAGTCTGACCTGGTGACAGCCTCCCTAAATTCAACAACACATCTAACAGTGTAAGAAATGGAGAAACTGGGCCCTAAGTAGTGGTTCACATTAATTTTTTTTTCAGTTACAAAATCAGACACGGAAAGCAAGTTAATATCACACCAAAATGAACCAAATAAAATACCTTAATTATTTGCAGTTGCACTCCTTCATCTGTTTGAGGGCCCTGAAAGCAATTGCAAATGGTTTCAACTATTCGGTCAATCAGCCGTTTTCCAGGAGCTCCACTGTCTGGAGCATTGCCAGTGATATGTCCATATGCAATGAGTTTCTAGGTAGAAAGACTGAAGGTTAGACAGCCATATACTGTTAAGTAAAATACTGTTAAGTAAAAGTCCATCATAAAAAGGGGGTTTTAGACAGCATACCTCACTTAACTAGTTTTAACACAAAAATGTAACACCATCAAGAGTCTGGCTACCTAATACTTGGACTGTTCACGCATCTAGACAAAACAGATTTAGTAAGTGGATATGTAAGCTTTTTCCACCTAGACCTTTTCTTCTTACCATAACCAGCCAAAATTTTAACATCAATCTTTGTACCTATTCACACCAGAGAGGTTCTGCCTTGAAAACGCATTCAATTTTTCTTTAAGAATCTAAGAAGGAACAAGGTAGAAAGATTGCAGAGTTTGACCTCCCATCACATCAGCACTATAAGAAAGACCACTATAAATACTCCTTTTAAAGCACTACAGATTAAACATCTTTACTGAATAATGTAAGAGTTCACGAGTTTTGTTAAAGGCTTGCTTCACTATAAAACAACACACACACATATTTCATACTTTGACAAGACACACTTTCAGCCAAGCCTAATAATAAGCTATTAGACATGGTTTATGCACCTAGGTAGCCACAGCAGGTATCTTCACAGCTGTATGTACTTAGGACAGTATTATTTCTTCACTCCAAGAATGTCAACAGCACACAAGATTTCTGTAACTGCACATTTCTCCATTTCACTCTGTCCAAGTTTAAACAGAACAGTTACCTGTAAACAATCCAGTGAAGTACTGACAATGCGTGGAGATTTTGACTGGCAGGCCAGTTCAAATGGAAGGAAATATTTATCTGCTTCAATGAAGTTAGCTTTTGGTGGAGCAGCAGTGCCTTCTCTAGGTCAGATAAGAAGAGTTATTAATTTTTCTGAACATGTATATCACAGCAAACTACACCTCCTTTTCTAAATTTAAAGCTGAATGGTACATAGCAGCATACAAATGTAATGCAAGTTTGTCACACATACTTTTTAAAAATCAATATTGTATCTGATCTTTCTCACATATTCTTCAACTTAACTCTTCCCTTGTTACTCTCCAACGCTGTCCCGCTATCTGAAATACTGGAGAACTCCTACACAACTTAAATGATAAATCTATCAAAGTTATTCCAAATTAATTAAACAGGGGTCATATGAAGAACATCAAACAAAAAGAAACACACTGGGGCCTCCTTTTACATGATAGCACACTGCTGGAAAAGTGTTTTAAAATTTGGATTTAAGTAATATTTAGATCAGTATTCTTGATCTAAGTAGTTAAGGGCATATACTATCCAACAGATGATACCTAATGCTCTTAATATAGCCTCATAGGAAGTAATGAAGCCAGTAAAAGCAAGTGAAAAACTAGCACCTTTTAGAAGTTTTGCAATTTTTTCATAGTGAAATTCAGAGGCAGTTATGGCTTGAGTACCCATACCCACAAACATTCTGTAATTGGAACACATTGGCTATATCACGTTTTTAGCAGAAGGATAGCTGGGTATTCACAAATTCATTGCCATAATGTATACACATTCGTACATTTCCACAATCAAATTATTCTGCTTGCTGTTTTCTGCCATAGTTTACAGCAGTTAATAATTTACCTTTGCTTTTCCAGCTCCGCTTTTATTTCATCTGGAAAAAGGAAAAAAAATTCCAAGTATTTAACACACAGCATAAGTTATCATTGTCAATAACACAAAAAATGAAAATGTAATAAAGCAAAGCTGTTTCAAACCAGAAATCTTACAGTTCAGTACTTGCTATTCTTTTCCTGTAACATCTTCAGCATCAGAGACCGTAGGCAGTTACATCACTTATTGGAAGGCATATCTCTCAACTTCTACATGAAAAAGTTTATTTTTTCCAAACATTCTTACCAAAAGATATGTCTAAAAAACACAAGTATAGTATGCAATTTTTTTACAAAAGTCTACATCGTGGAGAGCTCAGGTCTGCAGAAGTCTTTAAGCCACTGCATAAATCATTAGTTCAATGCACCAGACCTTCCTGTAAACTACAATGCTAGTTAGCCTGCTTTTGTTAAACCTCTCATTGTGACATCAGCTGAACAAACAAACTCTCAAGAGATAAGAATTCTTAAATGCATGCTATCATTTTGTCAGCAGAGCTTTTTTTTTTTTTTTTAAATTACCCTTTAAGGGAGCTTTTCATAAAATTAAATCCAGAAGGTAAAAAGTTTCTCTCATGTCTCTTGTATACAGCAGCAAATCTCAAAGATCCCAGTATGGCGTTTTAAGAGTTTCTAACATATCACCATGATACACAACACAAACTAGAACTGTACTACACCAGAAACAGCAGAAGCACATACTGTGAACACTGACAAAGAAAATAACAAAAATAGCACACAGGCTGCACAGCTACAATCATCTGTAACATCATATGGAATCCTGTCCACCCCACCCTATCTCACACACCTGCAAATTATCATGCCCACAGAACTCGTTTCAATTGCAGTTACCAAAAATGAATCGTTTACTCAATACTTGCTCTCCACAACTCTGAGAGGCACCATTGTTTGGGATTAGATGTCCACAGTTCAGATTATTTCAATGCTGCCTGTGAACCTCTGTCCCAGAAGCATCAATACACAAAGTATACTAACAAATGAGGACCGCAACAAACACCTATTACAGGTTTTTGCACAGTCCTACTGCTCAATGAATGTTACAAGAATTAACCTTTGCAGAGTATGCCTATTCTGTAGCATTACTACCCCTATTTTATAGGCAAAATGGAACCAAAATGCAGAGGAAATCTGTAAAACTACAAGCGGTGAATGACAAGCCACATCCAGGACTGGGACTTGCTATTCTATCTGCCATACTCTTTCATTAATGAAAGTCAATCTGACAACCATTAGCAAGAAATGATGTAACAAGAACTGAAGTAACATCATCCACCCTACAGTCAACAAAATAATAAACAACAGAAAAATGGAACAGTCACAGGCCTACAATACATCATGGCTCTGTTCAGAAGTCCACCATTCCCTAATCAAGTCCATCATGCAAACAATCATGTCCAGTATTTTGAAAGGAGAGACAGTTTTCGCTTGCCAGTATGGCACAAGTCAGTGGCACGGCAATGAACTGAGACAAGCTCATAGCCCCAATGCCTGCGATTTCAGAATTAGAAGTAACTTTGCAGCTCCGTGACAGTGCAAACCAGCACTGTCATCCCCTAATACTTGAGGCTTCAACTGGTAAGAAGATTCAACAGGTTTCCCATGCCAAGGGCAATGTAAATCCTAACACAGCACCACTTCTTGGATCAATGCTTTCTTCATTCCAGTATCCTGCTGGATAATCACCAGGATGGCTACTCAGAGGTTCAACTGAGCAAAATTTGAATTCAGTGTTGTTTATTTTATTAATTTCCTCATCTTTAACATCGTATTATGATCCACAGAGCTACTGAGAACAACATACACTAACAGACTTGTCAATTTACTGTGTCCCTATTTAGATCTGTCTTACTATTAGAGCAGTGTATTGCTGTTGCCTACAAGAACTGGTTGCTTAAAACACAGTTTTCCGGGTAGCGTTACACGTTCAGAACGCTTAGTCCTGCCTCTAGGTCTTGGCAGAGAAAGGCATATTTTAGCTATGGCCAGAATTCCAAGTACAGCAGGATGCCAGGGTGGTCAGCTATAACACAGTTAATGCTGTATTTCAGGCACCCTGTAGAACTAAGGTTTACACAGCTTTTTTTAATGAACGCAAAAATTCACCACTCTCTGAATCAAGTTTATTTTTACAAAGCAGAAAGACTGCCTGAGTTACCCAAGTGGTCCTCCTTGCACTAAAAATGGTAATTTGCCTACCTCAGAAATAAAAGGCTTCCTTGATTTGATAATGTTTTGGTCAAGTCAGACTAAACACCTTCTGAATACTCACAGGTATTTCTACAGCACATGAAATAGCTTTCTATTTCACATATAAAAGAGCTGCTGCAATTTTTTTCCCATTGGCCGATCAATAAGTGAATATCATCAGGGATACAGTAGAAGACACAAACATATCTAATACATCTAGCTCAGTGAATGTGACTTTTCTTTAGGGCTTACTTGTTTGCACATTTATCCACTTCCCACTCCTCCTCAGCAGCCTCTTCAGAACTTGTGCACAAGTCTAACTTTTGCGATTCTTGAACTGAAACTCAAACCTATTTAGCATCCACTATTCTGGCCAGCCAGTCTGTTACTCAAAACTTGTCTCAGTTCATCCAGTTTGATTTTGACATCCTTCTTTCCACAGCACCCAGCTGAAGGAAAGCTGAAGGTCATACACACCATCTTCATTCTGCCATACTATTTAGTGGGAGGTGGACAAGGAGGGTTTGTTGAGGGGTTCCTTGATGGGGGGAGAAGGGTCCAATATATAAAATCCTCACCTGAAAAATGTTCATTTAAAAAAAAAATTCAAACCACAGTAGGAATATTGTAGCAATGAGTTCACCCAAGAAAAAAAGGTTAATTTGTAAAGTTTAATACTAGAAAAAATAAGGTTTCATTGTGTAGGATATGTTATTCTCAGCTACAGAAGTGCTCACTTCCACATTTAGTGTATAACTAAGTAATGCTATTTTTTTCCAAATCTCTGTATCCTACTGAAATAACTTCTTTCTTTCAAAGAGATCACTTTACCCCTATACTGTTTGTTAGCAAAGCAGCATAGCAAAAAAGTTTTGAATCAAAACTTCACAAAGATTTTAGCCTTAAGGAGACATGATCACACCCATCTTTACTGATAGGTATATTGGATCTTCCATTAGAAAAATATGTAACACTAGCATCCCATATTAGAGCACTGACAATTTCACTCTCAGAAATATTCTGTAAATGTAAAAAATAAAAATCTAACCAAGGCCTGACCAAGCTCCCCACAGTTTTATATAATAAAGGTTTTTCTAAAGCCATATAAAAACATCTGCACCACAAGAGTATTTTAATAGATAATGATTGCAGGAAAGAATAAATGAAAGGACAAAACCAAGTTACAGGCATGCCTCTGCCACTGATTGCATCAAAAGAGTTTGGAAATCTCCACATTTAAAAGTGCTTATTGGGTGGTCTGACCACCAAAAGTGAGTGAAACAGAAATTGTTGCCTAATTGAAGTCCGTTGCCATGATCAGCTTCCCAAGCCCAAACCATGCACAAGCAGCTTCCAGAAACCCACCGCCACACTCTGCTCTTCCAGTCAGGATTAAGGGGCACAGCTCAATTCCCTTCCACAGCTGCAGAACACATTCTGAGTTTTGGTCAACATCTGCTCATCACAGCACAACGCTGACTCCTCAGTTGGTGCTTTCGGTACTAGACCTACCAGCTACTTTCAAGGCCAGAATGTATCGGCATACATTGCGTCTACTTCAGTCAGAAACATCTTCAACTGCGGGCACTGCATGTGCTGCCCACTCAACGCAAGCCTTTCAGCATTCCTACCAGGCAACACAACTGGAATAACAAGCAAGGCTGTGCAGCAATTTCTCACAGAGCTTCTGGCCATAATAACAGCAGGACGAAGCTTGTGCTGAGACTACAATCATTCTATACTAGATGGATGGTTTAAGTTTGTTTGTATTGGAAATTATATATTAAAATGGAGGAAATAATTGCCTACGAGCAATTACATGCATCTTATGTTAACGTACAGCCAACTTTGTCTCAGTGGAAGCAAACTAGCTCCTGTGCAAAAAATGGCATAGCTTGTGTTAGCACAAGGACACAAGCAATGTCTTTCCATAGCTTGTCAGAACACCGGACCGCAGTGCCAATAAAAACATGGAGCAGCAGCAAAAGCTTCCCTCCCCCCAACCCGGTAATGTCTACTGCATTGCCTAATTCCAGGCTGCCTTAAACTTACATCAAAAAACCCAACACCCCATATTTATTGATTCTATCGATCGAGAACCCTTCAGAAAAGGCTGCCACAATGAAGCAAGACTATCTCCTCTTTGCCCCAGTGTTCTCAAAACATGACAGCCAAGTGACTACCAAATTAAGAAACACAAACTCCTTTTAGACATCTGTCGTTTATACCCAGAGACTTCTTAAACACACAACTAGATTCCTAAGTGAAGGCATGGTTTAAGAGATTACTTTTTTTTAAAAAAACTCATTAACAAGTTAACAAATTCTGTTGTTTACAAAGCTCGAAGGTATGTACGTGGAGGTGCCTAGGCAATCAAAGAAGGTCGCATAAGCAGGCTAGCTGCACAATATGTCATTAAAAACAGTCCTAATAGGTCAAGAGTAATAGTTTATATGAGACAACCAGGCACACAATTAGCATTGGATGAATATGAACTGCTGTGATACATACTGTCTGTGTTGCACTGTAAATTTTTCAGGATAGAGAATATTTCAGGGGATTTACTAAGAACCAGGTGTACCTAGAGCTCTATGTAAATGCTTATTAAGCGACTATTTTTATACAATACACTGGCTGTCTGTTGAAAACACAGTTTTCTAAAGCAGAGCAGAACAGCTTCTCAGTTTAAAAACCTCCATTTCTCCCAATCTCTCCTGGGGCTTACTGGTACTGAGAGTACAGGATACAACCGTTATACCTACTGATGAAGCAAGAGACTGAATGAAGGAATCTATTCAAACCCCGCTTACTCAACATTAACACTGTATATTTCAAAGGAGGGGGTGAACAGAACTAAAAAAAAAAAAAAAAAAAAAAACAACACACCAGAAAATGACCACTGTGAACTGATTTTGTTCCTTTTTCCCAAACCTGTGATGTTTATGTCCTATCTGAGCCTATGTTACTTCTCATTTCTACAAAGTCATGGAGATATTTTGCAATTCAGAACTGTACAGTAGTAGTCCAGTGAAAGGTATATTACTGAGAAAGGTAGAGGAAAAAAGGTAAGAACAGTTTAAAATTAGAAAATATTAAAATGATGATAAAAGAATACATGTATTTCCCACATAAGAATGAGAGAAATTTTCAATTAGTAATTTCCTTGATTTCTCAGGAGTTGAACACATTCAAAACAATAAAGAACTCATGTTAAAGAAAACAAGAACATCATTCCCACAGTTAGAAACATTCCTCTGCCTCATCAAACAAAAAAATTAAAGCATATGTAATTAAAAGAAACACCACTGCAGTAACACTACAGCTGAAATTGTAGAAATAGTTGGAGGTTAATTTATATTAGGTAGTTTTAGAATACACCAGTTCCTCTCTATTTAGAAAAAAGATGTATCATAAACTTCCCTAGTACCGAGAGCAGATACTATTTACACATAAGCCATGCCTGTGTTGACTGCTTCAGAAATGGTACAATACCTCAAGGCTCCATTAAAAAGACCATTGCATAAATGAGACTGCACAGTGCATGGAATTTAGTAAGAGGCAGAAAGGGATTACTTGAAGTATGACATGGAGAAAAGAAAAAAGGAAAACAACAGCTTACACAATTACCAGTTTCATAGAGTTAACTTTACATCTCCCTCAACCTGATTTAATTTTACTCAGAGTTAACTGGACTTTTTTATTATTATTCAAAACACCGAAGCTTCTTTCATCCATAACAGTTTGTGTAGATTATGAAGTCTGGTCTGAATTCCTCAGACTGCAAGTAATGCTCTTACCACGTTTTCTAGCATTTTTACTATTGCATAGAGCTTGATAATTAAGCTAACACTATTGAAACTGCAGTCACATTCTTAGTTAATATAAAGTATAAGCTTAATTAAACTTATGTAAATAAAACTAAACAGTTAGGGAAACAAAATCACATGTAAATAAAAGAAGTCACATTCATGTTGGCAACTTAAAATGATGCAACAACATTCACTAAATATAACAAAGATCTTTTAGTACAGTAATCAGGGACCTGCTAGGGCAGGACAGTTGGGTAACAGAAGGTTATCTATTCATGCTGACCTCTGCTTTAGTCCAGGAAAGCAGAGTCTTTTTTTTTTTTTCCAAGCAAGATTAGCAAAAAAACATGTCCATCATCACAAGCATTAGCTACCCTCAAATGCACTGTACCTTAAAATATGCAGACACAATAGTTATAATCCAACATGTAAATGCTAATATGGGGCTATTGCACAATAGCCCTCTCCCAAAATCATAATCTCTGATGTGTTAGCAAACATAAAGACCTTCACTAGCAATCTTTCAAGAAAGTTCCCTTTCTCACCCCCTAAATATATTTACATAGCAGCAAAACATGTTCCCAATCCTGTAACTGGGTTGGGTGCATGCTGGGGAAGAAATCTGGAAAAGGAAGTAAGTAGGAAAAGTAGTTTCTAACTGCTGGGGCACACATATTATACTATTGCTCACAATGTCAACTTTAAATCATTTAAAAATACCCTTCTGTCTGCTTACCTTTCTCTGGATATAATATCACTACAACTAGGTGCTACAAATTTCTTGAAGGTAAGGATTGTGGGAAAGAAAATAAAAATGACAGCTATTTTTCGAGCTTGCTTTCACAGTGCATTGGACAGAACTTGCATCTGCCCAGTTTCCTTACACACTCAATCTGTCTTCTGTACTGAATTCAGTGCATGTTCCCAAATTAAAGTAAAAATATCGGCACAAAGCAACCAAAACTGTAAGAGATATGTTACTTTTGCAAATTAAGAAAGGCCACAGAGAATTCCAACTACAAGAGCTATACTCATTCAGCTAGCTTATTCTTCCCCCTTCATAATATACCATATGTTGTCAAAACTTTTAACAGAGACCTATACCATCAATTTGTACTTTCAGGAGATTTCAAGACCAGTCCACAAACTTCACAAAAAAGTATTTTCAGTTCTGCAAGACACCACTGACACTATGTGTACTCAGCTACACCACTAACAGTTTTCAGCCAGTCCAACACTGAGCAGGAGACACCACGTCAGAAAATTACTAGCCCTGGAAGATTTGAGACTCAGCAAGTCAAGGGCCTTCATCAGTTTCCTAGTTTAAAAGTTTATCAATAATGTCCTCGAAATTGGCTCTGAAGTGACAAGCCCAAATCCCTCGTTTCATACCGAGACCAGAACTTAATCTAACAGAGCTGGGGGTTCCCCCCCGCATTTGCGCGCCCCGCATTAGAGAGAGAACTCTTCCCCCCCCGCTCCCAAGTCCCGCGCCCAGGCGGGGCCCCGCAGGCAGCCCGGCAGCGGGGGACCCGGGACCCGCTCGCAGCCCGCGGGGCCCCGCCGTGGCAGAGGGCAGCAGCGGAGCGGGGGGGAGCGGCGGCACGGCCCCGCCGCAGCGGGTGAGCCGGGATCCCCCGGGCGGGGCGGCGCAGGCGGGGGGACCCCGCGGGACTCACCCAGCGCCACCTGGCAGGCTCTGCGCAGCTGCCCGTGCGGGGGCCGCCTCGCCTCCTTCTCCGCCAGGATCTTCTCCAGGGCCCGCGACACGAACATGCTCTTGGTGCGGGCGTCCTGCTCGCGGGACGGGGGCTGCATGGCGCGGCGGCGGGGGTGTCGCCGGGACCGGTGCTCAAAGCCCGCGGCCGCGCTGCGGCCCCATCACCCGGAAGAGACGCGACTCCCTCAGCGGCCGCCACCGCGCCGCCGCCACGGCGCCGCCATATTGGCACCGTCACGTGACTCGGGCTACCACCACCCCACCCCCCCCTTCCTGCGATGACCCCCGACCCCTCCGCGCCGCCGATAGTGACAGGCGGAGGGGGGGTGGGCGGGGCCGGCGGGGGGTGGGCGGGGCCGGCGGGGGGTGGGCGGGGCCGGCGGGGGGCGGGCGGGGCGGGCGGGGGGCGGGCGGGGCGGGCGGGGGGCGGGGCCGGCGGCGGGGGCGGCGGGGGCGGGGCAGGGGGCGGGGTGGGCTGTGCGGGCTGTGCGGCCGCGGCTGTGTCAGCAGCTGATTGGAATTAAACAAAATTAACCACCCCCCGCTCGCCGGTTCGGGGTTCTGGCGAGCTGCTAAGCCATTTGTGGCGACCAGCGTTCGCACGAGCCCTTCCCTGTGCCGGTGTGTGCGGGCGAGGCCTGCCCCGCCTCTCCGGGAAAGGGGGAATCCCGCGCCCCACGCGCGGGGAGCCCCCCCGGCTTTTCAAAAAAAAAAAAAAAAAAATTGGCCTCTTTCTTCGTCCCTACGCTTTCTGGGTGTAAAACGCGACTAAATTACTTGCTGTAATGCAAAATACTTAAGCGGAAATTGGTCTCTTGGGTCTCGGGTACAAATTTCGGTATCAGTAAGAATTGCAAGTACAGTTATGCCGCAATTGTATTGATTAAGTTATAATTACCAAAAGGAAACTCATAATTGTCATAATTTTTATAATACATCTAATCTAACAACCTCAACATTTGTATTACTGCTGTTAACTTTCACGGAACAACCACTATGAAGAGGCACTGAGAAAGTACATGTGAAAGACTCGAAGTCATATGTTAAAGAAAAATCACTAAAAATTAAATTTCAAGTCCCTGAAATTGAGTGTCCTCTTATAACCTTATGCCCAATTGTGTTTTCTCCCTTTACCCCTTGGCCTATGTGGTAGGGTACCTTACACACAAAATCAAATTCTGGACTTTTTCAAAGCCAGTATAATCTGAGAAAATAATCTGTAATTTATTCCATTAACACTCTCCACCGTAATCTGGCAACCATTACCGGAATGCAGTCGCCTCTTCTATGTCATTCCACAATGGATTTCATCAAGTTAAGATGACCACATCTAACTCAGAATACAGGGGCACATTAGATTGTCGAGACTGTAATTTCATTTCCTTATTTCCCAAGCAGCAGGACTTTCATTCTTTAAAAGGCCATTAATGGATCCTTCGTGTCAAGTTGTCAAGAACTGCAATTTTTGTCCCAGAAACCACTAATTCAAAACACCTGTGCAAAACATTAGCTTAGTATTGTTTCATAGGGAGAATGGACAGATGCTTTGTGATCACCTCTACTGTGCAGAGGTTTATGTGGATTGGTTCACACAGAGCTGAGAACTCGTATGAAAAATATGAGTTAGAGGATGGGAAATCAGAAATTATAACAAGGCTGGATAAGAAGCAGGGAAGAGCTGCTGTCTGGAAACAGGTTTTAAGGTTTGCTTGTATCTGAAGACTTGGGTTTCCCTTGGAGATCAGCAGCTCAACTATGGGTGTGATATGAGTGAGATTTCATGGCTTGACATTACATCACAATTTATCAGTGTAACTGCCTCAAAAATCTGCTAGTTGTATCTCTTCCCTTGCCAGTATTAGTATGTTCTGCCTCTTCTGATACCAGAAAATGTACCATGTAATAAAGATGAGACACTTTTGAAGGGTTAAAGTCCTCCTGAGAGTATGCCAGTTGAAGGTATCATGAGGCAAACAACTTGAACTTTCCTCTGTGTTAAGTGAGTAATATAAGTTCAGAATGAACCACTACTCCAAGTCAGAATCACAGAAATGTGAGGCCAGGAAGCACTTCAGTAGATCATTTAGTCCATCTCCAAGCACAAGGGCAGAATGGTGTCTCTGCACAAGAAGCAATAATAGAGGAGATGCAACAGCTTTTCAGTTAGCTGCCTCCAGTGTTTTGCTAACTATCCAATTAGGAAATTCTTCCTTGTGTCTGGTCTGGATTTTAGCTGCTGTCCATTAGCAGATGGAAGGACGCAATTATCATGGTGATGGAAATATCAGAAATATAGAGACAAATAAGGTAGAAATCAGGGTATGATTTTTTTTTTTTTTAATTAAGACATTTCCAGATCATTGCTATAGTTTCAGTTTTGTTTTATACTGGAAGTGCCTTACAGTTTGGTTCTTCCTGTATTTTGTTTGAATTTTTGGTCTCCCATACAAAAGATATTAATTCCTGTTATATAGATGTGTTGATTTCACTCTTATTGTAGCCTCGGTAACATAATTGTTTTTACACTAAGTATAGATTTCATCCTCAAGCTTTGTGCTGATCTTTGTAGTATATGCTTCTTTAGTAGCAACTAACTCCATGAAACATTTAGAAAAATGCTGCTGATTTCAAAATGCTGAAGTAGCCCATATTTTTTTCCTGGTGTTTCCCTAGCAGGATTCAGTATGCTACTATTTTTAAATAGTATCAGCTGTGTAATAATTTTGTCTATTTGCTATTTATTTTTAAAATATATTACACATATAAAAGTGTTGGGCATTAAGCTATTACATAATCTGGTATTTCGTATGAGGTATCCAGTTCCATGAGATATTTCATAATATCCTTTGGGCTTGTGAACATACCAAGGTTTTAAACCCTAATTGTATATCTTTGTATGCTTGTGATCACTTAAGTGTGCCATTTCTGAGTAAACTGCTTTGGATATCAGGGGGTTGAGAGATGGTTTACATGCCAGGTGATTGAATTCATTTGCATTAAAGACTAAAATACAGATAGTATTATGGGGTTTAATTGTAGTTTTCAAAACCTTGTTCCCAGAATGCAAGGTCTGAAAAATAGGCTTTTCAGGTTAATTCTGATTCAGTCTGTGTCTGGAGGGAATTAGGAAGGTGGCTTGCTGTGCATCTCATGACTCAGCTGCCTCCTTTAATTCCTACTCCCAGCTCCACTGTAGCTCTGCTATACCGCAGGCTCTCAAATCCTCTCCACAGAGTATCTCACTGACTATCTTACTGACCAGGCAACATCTAATTTAATTTGCTCTGTTCTGAAGGGCAAGAAATTCAGTATAAACCTTAAGAACTTCATTACTGAACAAAAAAAATGACAAAATGGAACAGTATCAAATTTCTTCTAGCTAGTTTAATTTATCACGACCAAATAAGAAGAGGTTTAATATGTCTCCCTAATAATGCCTGTCTATTAGAAACGGAGCAATGGAGAGACAGTACACAAAAAAGACAGAACAGGATCACCTGTCACAGAGTCAAGTACTGACACTGAGCTCAGAAGTCGAAAGACAGATTGATTGTGCTTGGACTCAAGAGTCATTTCATTTCAGTGCTGAAATCTAGTGTCTCGGTATAGGTGAGAATATGCCTTGGAGAACATGATGGCCAAGTTAAAAGGGAATATTTGGCTGATACAGGTTAACCAGTTCTCAAACTTGAGTGAAAAATAGTTGTGTTGGGAAGATGACAGAATGTTACAGCTTCCATTAAGTTTTTATTCTAAGTAGTAATGGTAAGGGAATGAGACCTATCTCTTGAAAAGCTTTGAGTTCAGCCATAACAAGATAAAATGTGTGGTTATTAGAAGCAAAAAAGGAGCAAAGAGCTCGAGTTAAGGGTTGTTTATTCAAAAGGGGGAGCTTTCATTCTTGTTTACACTAAGGACTATTACGATTATTTACCTTCTTATGGATGGGTCCTTTTTATACTCTGAAGCTCCCAAAGAATTTCATTCTTTATCGTTGTAGATAATGCTCAGGTAAGTCTCTGAAGACCGTTGTTAGCTTCTAGGATGGCCTTGCCTTGCATGCCTGTTATTATTGTAGGATTTGAGGCAAAAGAACGCAGATTCCTGACACAGACTGATTATGCACAGACCAAAGTGTGCACAGTTGCCACAGTTGACCACACTGTTCTTTCAGACATACAAGTTTATCCAGCACAGCCTGAGAAATGCATATATGCATGATACATTGTCAGAGCTAACTGGGTATAGATTGCACTTTGATCTGCTCGTACTCGTACTAGCTTCTGAAGAAGCTGTCCAAGGAACAGCCTTCTCCCTTCCCTCATCAACACTGGTCTCAGTCACAGTGGCAGATAGTTCTAATTGCTAACCCTTTTTTTCTTTTTTTTTCTTTTTCCCCCAGAAATGTATTTTTCCCCTTGATTAGGCTTAATGCCTACCTTGATTTTTGCATGACCATGTGTGGTAAACAAGTCATCTATACTAAACTGTCTCCTTGCCAACACCAAAGATCTCACATTGCCCAGGAGGTCTGGAGTACAGACAGAATCTTTCTTTCTCTTCTCTAAATGCTAGTCAGAGACCTTTGTACATTCTTGAAATGTAATGATGCACTGCCGGTTCTGGACAGGTTGAGAAGCAGGACACAGCAATACTCTGCTCCATGTGGGTGAACAGGTAGAAAGGACACCAGTAAATGTACAAAATCTGTGATGAAAAAAGGGTGGAATACCCTGTCTGTGGCATTTGTCTTGTTTTATGTGACAGGAGTTGGAAACAAATCATGATCCTTCTTCCTTCTTGTAGGTGCAGCCCACTCAGCTATATCCTGCTAGCCCCAAACCAAGGGAGTCTTGGAAGATGACACAGGATGTAATATCCGTGAGAAAACAAAACAAAACTAAAACGATCTTTCTCAGAGAAAACTAGAAAAAACCAAAACCTATTAAGATGTTTTCTGTGAATTATGCCAAGATGCAGACGGGCCTTGAGAATGACAAAGAAAAATATGTCCATGGTAGTCTACAGAAACTGGAATAAGGGCTTTTAATGCTTTTTTAGTTTGCAGTTTCTCAGGCTGGTCCAGTGGTTTGAGGAATTGCCAGCAGCTCACTGTGTCCATGTTTAATGCCTCTAGTCAAGGACTTTTACCAGAAGGTCAAAATATACTTTGATCACAATAACTTGAGGTCCATGTTCAGCTTGCTCCATGTGCAATGATACCAATTCTTGCCTATCAATTAGCA